TCCGACACTGTCATATTACCCTGGACCAACTGAGCAAATTCAATTTCCTTTAAATGTTGGATGTGCTTAGGGAGATACTCCGCATGGAAAGCCGCTAGGAACTGCTCCCAAGTAACTGGTACAGGCAGGGTGGCCCGCTTGAGCTCCCACCAGCGTACTGCTTCCCCTACCAGCATGTAGGAGGCAATGGCAGCCCTCTGCTCAGGAATTACTCCCAAGGTCTCAAAGGCTCGCTCAGTCTCCGCCAGCCAGTATTGGGCCTCTTCAAAAGAGGATTCCCCCGAAAAAGTAGAAGGGTTCAGTCTCCTGTACCTCTCTATGAAGCCAGGGTCGATCAAGGAGGGAGCGGGGTCCCGAGGTAAAGGAACTGGGGCCGGCTGAGGGTGAACTGGGGGACCCTGTGGTGGCGCCTGCTGATGGGGTGGGGGCACTGGAATGTGCTGTGGCGGTACCTGTTGGTACCGTGGCTGTGGTACCGGGTCGTACCGCGGCTGTGGTGCCGGGTGGTACTGTGGAGGAACAGGCTCCTGCCGGGGTGGTTCGGGATCAGCCTGCTGTAACGGGGGCTCAACCTGCGCTAGCGGAGGAGGTCCGGGTAACTCCCTTCTCTCCTCTTGCCTTCGCTGGGCAGCTACGAGAGCTTCCACCATCTCATATAATCTGTCCAAATCCTCCCGAAGCGAATTATCTTGGGCCGCTCGGTTTAGTGGGGGCCTTCCTCTCCTCATTTCTGTGTACCTGCATTTACAAGGAATGGTTGAGTAACGACCAATCGGTGAGTATTTCTTTAAAGGACTATAGTGTAAGGGATGGGTCCGAGGAAATGCGGCTCTGATACCAACTGTAACAGCCCCGGAAAATATTAAAATGAAATGAGTATTTAAATATATCGAATGCGGAAGCGAGATCAAAATTTCAGTTAACATCCCTTACACGAAAAACCAAACAAACGTACTTAAAATATAAAAGGTTAAACTAACTAAGAAAGAAAACTCGAAAATAAACTATGCGTATGACTACAGAGTCTCTAGGCATCCCCTTCGTCGTCCTCCTGCGGAACGGGCTCGGGAACCATGTCTTCCTGATCTGAAATGGTTAATTAAGGAGTGAGCTACACTAGCCCAGTAAGAACATCACGACATCTCACCGTCACGGAGATAAAGGTGGGTAGAAAACCACAAAAGACCAATGGAGCATAATTTACAATAAACTCGTTTATTAACAACAAAACCTTTTATCAATAATAAAACTTTTACCATCCACTTACCTTGGTGGAATTTATGAAAACAATATGAGAAAAACAATAACATTATCATAATCATTGAATAATCTAAGCTGTAAAACATAACACTTATCACGCATCTTGTAATTCAATCATTGTACAACATATCTTTTTTTTTTTCTCATTTACCAGCCTACTAGTATCCGTGGGGGTCCATAGGGGTTCCGCTACCCGTTAACCTTTAACATTCATAATCAGTTTCCAGGGCCGTCCCCATACCCCGTCCGGTATGGGCGCCAAAACCATGAACCTCAATACCCCGTCCGGTATGAGGGTGAAACGGGCCGTCCCCATACCCCGTCCGGTATGGGCGCCAAAAACATAAACCTCAATACCCCGTCCGGTATGAGGGTGAAACGGGCCGTCCCCATACCCCGTCCGGTATGGGCGCCAAAACCATAAGATCTCCATACCCCGTCCGGCATGTGAGACCACAATCCCGGTAGGGTTCCCTACGGACCCGGTCCGTCCACCATCTCCCAGGATATCTAGTCAGGCTGACCCCCATAATACAATTATCAGTCTACACAATCTTTCATTTTTCCTTTTCCTCAATCAGCATCATCAATTCACATTTAAACAAGCAAATCGTAATTCATACCAAACAGACAACATACAGTATCAGTTTTTCAGTCATTCAACCCATAATTAATAAAAACGTAGTACATGCACACAAATCTGTAAAATGAACACATCAAACCTCATTTTGCATTTAAAGCTGTAAACAGGCCAAATAACAGTAAATCATCAATCACACTAGACTCGGGCTCCATTAGCAACCTTAAGCAATTTCACACATGCGTTAATTCAAGAAATACTGTTTTATCATTTTGAACTTTAATACCGTGATAGGAAATAGGGTGAGGGGTCCTTACTTGTTTTCGGGATCCGAATACGATTCACAGTGCGCCTGCAGGCTGTCCCTAATTTTTCCTGAATTTTTCCCGGGGAACTGAAACACGCTAACAGTACCTGCACGTGTTCCAAAAAAAAATCCAAATTAGGCCCAGGGCCTCTTTCGGCCCAAATCGCAACTCCGGCACGGCGGCTCCGCCGTGCTCCGGCGACGGCGCCGCCGCTGGCGGCGGCGAGTCGCCTCGGGTTGACTGTTTTCGGCCCTTTTTGGCCGAATTCGGCCACACTCGCATTGGTCCTTGTCAGAAAACAACCCTAGGGCCCTCGGGGGGCCAAAAAATCACGGAAAAGCGGAGCTTACCGGCGGCGGCGCTCTCGGGTACGGCGACTCTCCGGCGAAGTTCGTGTTTTGGTGATTTGGCTTCGGTCAACCTGTAGAGAAAAGAATGGTGATCACGGTGATATAAAAATTGCATCGAACGGAGGCCGGGAAGGGCCTCGTCGGAGGCAAAAACCGAGAGGGGGCGCGGCGGCGCCGCTGGGCTTCGGCCGCGTATTCCGGCCGTTTGGCCGGGATTTCAGCTTCGATTTGGCCATAGGAGGAATCAGTGGGGAAAAACGAGTCGGGGGTATGAAATTTACCTCGATCGGCGGTCGGAAATTTCCCCGGTGCGGCGGCGAGTGGCGGCGGGTGGCGGCGGTCGGCCTCTGGTTCGTCTTCTCCGGCGAGCGGCTGGCGGCTAGGGTTTTTGGTCTGGTGTGGGGGTTCTATTTATAACCCCTTGCCTTTTGATCACAGCCGTTCGTTTCGTTTTAATCTGGGCCGTTCGTTTTTGATTGAATCTGGGTCGTCCGTGCGTTTGAATCTGGGCCGTCCGATCGCGTGATTGATCTGGGCCGTCGGATCGCACCCACGCGGATCGCCAACGTGGCTCCTTTCGGAGTGACGCGATCTTGCCACGTGGCAGGCCCCGGTTGGCCGGGACTGCTGACCGGGCCTGCTGACGTGGCTGCTGACGTGGCCCCCCCCTCCTTTTTTTTTTTTTTTTTTTTTTTTTTTTTTTCCTCCTCCTTTCCGGGCGCTACATTTTTAGAGTAAAAAATGATAATTTGGTTTTTTTATTGAGACTAATTTCATTTCATTCAACACAAAATTGGGAGAATTGAATAATTGGTAAACCTTCAAATTTTTTTTTTAATCTTTAAAATTTACTTTTCCCCATTTATTTCCATCCACACCATACCCTAAGCGAGAAATATATATATATATATATATATTTAATTAAGTTACTTATTTATTAATCAACTGTTAGGACGTGGATTAATCTCATTGAAAAAGCTTCCATTGAAGACAAATTCACGTGAGTCTTCTGGCTTAATCATAAGCTTAGAACTTACTCTTTCAATTTAATTAATACTAATAATACCATTAATATGATTATTTTAGATTTAATTTTAATTAGCAATCACCTCAGTTCCCACAACAATACAAGACAGCACATATATATATATTTATTATTAAAATTAATTAATTAATTATGATAAGTAAACAAGTCGTTGGTTACTGAACCAATAAATCTGGTTTTTTGAATTTTTTTTTTAAAAATATATTATTTATTTAAAGTGAATTAATGACCCATCCATTAATGATCATTCGGTTCATTCATCAATAAATTAATTATATTAATTTATTTATCTAATTATCCCGACCATTACACCACCTTCTCATCTTGTTAATTACCATCCTAATGTCAATTACTTCTCACTAATATTTTAATATATATATATATATAGAGACAAAGCGACACCGTTTTGATCTATTATCAGATGAAGAAGTGTACAAAGGTTGGCAGCGTTCCACGAGTGTGTTATTGATGTCTGTTTCCTTATATTTTTATTTTTATATTTACAGCTAAAAAGTATAAATCTGATTGAATCTTAAAAATTAAAAATATTATTATTATTTTTTAAAAATTTTGAATTTAGTTTTTAGTAAATATTAAAGTAAAAATGATAATAATTTCAACGAGTATATTTATTAAATTTTTTAATCTAATTTAGAAAATATTAAATGATGATACAGTAGTTTATTATTAATAAATATTAGTTTTTAAAATAAATTTTATTATTATTATTATTAATTTTAAAATAAAAATATTAAATATAGAGTTAAGAAATGATGGTAAAAAAATGGTGGTAGTAGTACTGAAATGACAAGGGAGCTTTTTTTAAAACCGTCCAAAAAAGCAAAGCTGGTGAAGGGGTGTGAGCCCAGTGTACGTCTTTCTCTTTCTCTTTCTCTTTCTCTCTCTCTCTCTCTCTCTCTCTCTCTTCCTCTGTGTGTTTGTGTGGGAGAGGAATGATTTCATTTTTATCCCGAAAAAGCTCTCCTTCTCCTTTCCTTCTTCTTCCCTTCTCTCTGCCTTTGTGATTTTCTGAGATTCACTTATGGCCAGTAAATGACTGCACTCTTTTTTTTTTTTTTGTCAAACTTACTTATTTTTACCTCCGCTCACCTTTTTCCCGGAAAATTACTTCCTTCTATCTCAGATTCAGCTTATCAATCACCTATTCTCCTTCTCTATATCACATTTTCGGTAAGTAACACTAGTTTTTTCTTCTCTTATTTTCCTTTTCTTTTTGTTTACAGCAAATCTGTCTTTCTTTTTTCCTCCCAATTTTTCGGGATTCACGAGGAAAATACAGAAATATATTTCTTACGCCATTTTTTTGGTAAAATAGTAGAAAAAAATATATATATATATATTATATTAAAGAGAAAGTAATAATGATGGAGGAGGAGAACGGAGCTGCCATAATTTCTAAAAATGGAGAAACATCTGTTGTTTTTGCGGCTCCGATTTAAACATCACATTCTCGATAGTTCCGTAGTATAGTTTTGTTTTCGACCTCATAAAGTATAAGAAAAAATGAACTGCATATTTCCTTTATTCTTTCTTTCCTTTTTTTTTCCCTTCAATTTTTTTTCTACGACTTTCTTCGGAAACTTGACAAACGACATCGTACGGTACCAGAAGGTTTTTCCCGGAAAATATTGACCTTTCTTAGTAGATCCTGATAAGAGCCACAAAGGGAGGGGACCAAACCCTATGAGAGAGGGGACCAGGGCTTCCATTAAATATGGCTCCCGTTGTTTTTTACAAATTTTTTTAGCACAAACAATTATTTATCTTGGTTCTTTTTCGGAAAGAGACTGAAAAAGTAGCTAGAATTTTTTTTTTAATGGTAGATTTTGATGTTCAGCGATAATGAACATTTGTTTTAATAGTATGCTGGAGCCGTAGCATTTATGAGTGTGTTGGATGGGTTTTTAATGTTTTTTATTAGTTTGGAGTTTGTTGACCCAATCTTTTGGTGACTGCAAGAACGGGTGGGGTTTGTTGCAGTAAGAATTTGTGGTCTATCATGCGGGCTCTTGAACAGTTGTTGATTAGTCGCTGTGGGTCTTATTCAAGGGCCTACTTCTTCTGGGTTGCTCGATATAATGAATGTGAATTATTGGAGCTGAGACGGCAGTGAAAGGAAGAGAGGACGTTTTAAATTTTAACACGGGATATCAAAACGTGAGATATTGCTGTTGAATATGTTACTGCTTCGTGAGAATTATTGGAGAGAGAGAGAGAGGGAGATATATAGGCCATGATAAAGGTTGGAAAGGACATTTGGGAAATAGTTATAACGGGGTGGTGAATTTTGGATGGTTTTGATGAACGATGGTAAACTTTTTTAGGAAGTTGGCAGGTATCATTTTGAATAAGATGTTAGCTTCTTACTCACAGTGGAGGCAAAAGAAACTTTGCTTGGATATCCTGAGATTATTACTTCATTTGTGTGAAATTTGGATAACCTCAAGTTGTTTGAAATTTTTACTTCACTGCCCTATTAATTTCACTCGTTCAGTTGAATCCGTGATTACCTTTTTATCTTTTCATAAGTGGAGTTGGGTGAATTTAAACATTATCTCTGCTGAGTTTCTTGCATAAATCATTTCTGTGAAGGTGATTAAAGATCTACTTCATAACTGTTTATCAGACAAAGAGATGCGGACTTGCTGGTAATTTGAGATTTGAAGGTGAGGTATGTTCCTCGTAAGCTCGAGCAAATGTTCCCTGTACAGCTTTGTGCTACTAAGTTCACTAATGTTTAGTTCCTTTTTTAAGTACTTCGAACCATTGATGTTTTGGTTTTAATCATGAATCTGTAATTTTTTTATTCTCATAGGATTTTGTGCTGGTTGCTTGTGCATTAATAACATGAGGAGTTTGTAACGTAATCTATGAGTTCTTGCTCTTTGATGGAGTGGAATTCGAAAACACCCTTGCAGTGGGACTGGGAAAACTTAATCATGTTGAATGCAACAACAACTGAAATTCCTAGAAAGTTGCAACCAACAGAGTGGGAAATTGATGGAGAGGGAGGAATCAATTCTGGATCTCTATATTCTTCTGGGGGTGGTGGAGGGAGCGGAGGTTCTGGCTCTGATCTGGGGTTTGCTGCTTTGTCAAAGAGCTCAAAATCTACTTCTATCAATTCTTCATCAATTGTTGAAGTGAAAACATCTAAACTTACTCTGGAGGCCCGTGAAGGTTTTACAGAAGATTTTAGCAGTAAGAAAGAACATGACAAGACCGAGGTAACTGGTACTTCTCCGACCCTCGAGGCTTCTGTAGGCTCCGGTGAGCCATTGCTGGGTCTAAAGCTTGGTAAGAGAACATATTTTGAAGATGTTTGTGCTGGAAATAATGCTAAGGCTGCGACTTTATCTGTCACTCCTGCATCTTCTGTCACTCCATTGAAGAGATCCAAATCCAATTCTCAGAATTTACAGTCTCCCCGCTGCCAAGTTGAAGGCTGTAACCAGGACCTTTCTTCAGCTAAGGACTATCATCGCAAACATAGAGTTTGTGAAAGCCATTCAAAATGCCCTAAGGTCATTGTAGCTGGTCATGAACGTCGGTTTTGCCAGCAGTGTAGCAGGTAAGAATTGTATTAAATACAATCATCCTATATTTGGGGGAAATGGAAACTCTGAAGGACTTAATTCCTTTGCTATTTGTTGCCCTCACATGGAAATGTTCTGAATACAGTGACTTTTCCTCTGTTCTTCGTTGTCTTGATGTCAACCTACTACAAATATGATGCTTGAGGATCTGGTTGAGATCCTAGCTTGTGATGTGTTGCATTGAGTTAATCTTTGCTTTGGTTGTCATGTCAAAGGTTCCACGGTCTGTCTGAGTTTGATGAAAAGAAGCGCAGCTGTCGCAGGCGTCTTTCTGATCACAATGCAAGGCGTAGAAAGCCACCGCCAGAAGCAGTCCAATTAAATGCAGCTAGGATTTGTGGTATTTCTTTCAATCTTGGAATTTATCTTTTAAAAATTTTCTGGACTCGATTTTTCTGTTTTCTGCTAGAATAGAGCATTGATAATAATGGCCTAAAATGTCACATCAGAAGTACTAGTAAATGTAAATTTTTATATTTGTGCCCTATGTCTTCTCATGGAATCTGTAATAAAAACACTGCTGTTTATCATGTTAAAGAGATCAGAGCACTATATGTAATCTGGGTACATCAATTATGTGTACAGATGGGAAGCAACAGATGAGTCTTGTTTGGAATAGATTTCCCTTTGTTCACTCAAGGGCTGAGGAAAAATTTGCTTGGGAAGGCACCTGTGGTTCAAAGTCAATGCAAACGAAAGGGTTTATATTAAACCCTGGGAAAGTTGGTGGGATTGATGGCCAACTGAATTTCCACAACCAGTTGCCTAATGCAATCACTACACATGATGATGCCAATGGCTTTTTACCACCAAAGACCCGAGGCACTACAGCTGAGTTCCTCAACCAAGGTATGTCTTGCTTTCATAATTGGATACGGACAGTTTCTTCATTGCACATGCTTTCTGGTTGTTGGGTTATATGCCACCAGAGTCTTGCACCATAATCTCTATCTAGACTGCTTGCATGATATGTATTTCATTCAAGCATCTTCCTGCGGAATGGAGCTAATAAGTCAATCATCATATGAACCGAGTTCACGTGGTAAATGAATGATTTTTACTTTAATTAGCTGCCATCTGCGTAAGACCATTAATGCTCTTCCTTGACAGGCAAAATTCAACCATAACCAATTCCCCAGAATATGTCCTCATGGTTTGCTAATAGATATAAATGGTTTTGTGAATGGAACTTCAGTTGCTGTATTCTTGAAATGATGGGTATCTTGATTTGTTGGTCGTCCAAGATTCCTGCATGTTGTAGTTTCTTGTCTTGCTAGAGGTTTCTTGATTCTTTTCAGGACTAACAAAAACAAAAACAAATAAAGTAAATAAGACAAGTACTTTTCTAGTAGTTCTTTTCCCAATTACTTGTGTCCACTACTTGACTACCTTTAGTCAAGGATTTCAGTACCCCACTACCTAGACTAAAAATTGAGGATTTCAATACTTCACTATATTAAAGACTAAACAATGTCTTTTGATATCTTATACATAACCGAAATAGTATCTTTTAATGGAAGATGTAGACCCAATAAAATCTCTACCTTTTAACGGCTAAAGGAGAACCAAATCCCTAACTTTCAACAGTTAAGCTGGAACCAAATCCCTAACGTTAAGACTCTCTTTAAGTTTAGAATAATGTGTGTTCTTCGTTCAATCACAACTACTCATCCTAGATATAGTTTGCACTAAAGCTAGTCTTACAAACACTCTTTTACAAAGAGGCTCTTCTCTTTATTTTTTCCTTGTTTCTCTTAACTGTACTTTGAGTCTTTATGCTCTTATTTGTAGTGGAAGAGCTAACCTTGTGAACAGAATATTGAGCATTTTCTTCCAGACTGCAGGTTCACAAATTATTATAATTTTCTGTCAACACGGTATCGATACATATATGCAGTAACTACAAACTGTCTTTTGAAAATTTTAAAACTTAACACGTGGAACATTTTATTCCATTGGTTAGTTCCAGAATTTGAAATGAGAATAGGTACTGATGCCCAGTTCTAACTAGGCATCAAATAGTCCAACAGTCATGAGGAATAATTAACTTATAATTCTATAGAAGTTAAGGAAAATTGTCTAATAGATGAAGAATTAAAATGGCAATATTTTTTAAAAAATTTCAATAAGGAATCTATTCGATTAGATTTAATTTATCTTCTACTAGTTAATTAATTACATGCCTAATTTGTCAAGATTTTATTTTGTATAAATTATTGCTTATCATTGAAATTACTTAAATCAAAATCATTTTCTTCTGCATTGTAAATGGGCAGTATCCCCTTGTTACCATTTAATATAATATTACACTTTTATTTTTTTAAAAAAATCATTTTTCTACTGACAAGGATTCCCGACTTTTTTTTTCACTCTTTTATGATGGTAGAGCCAAAATAAAAATTTTGTATTTCTTCCAATGTAGTCAATATCTTACTATACTGGTCGAATGTCAATATATTGCAAATAAAGTTTTGTACTTAGTCAAACTGGTCAATGCCAACTGATAGTGGACGTATTGGCCAAAATCGGAGGTATCGACCATCGGTACAATATTATCTTTTAGTTTTTTTTTGTCTAATTTTATGTAAAAAGTGGAAGTTGCAAATTTCAAAATTAAGTTCATTTTTATGTAAGAAAATTTAATACAAAATGTTTAATTTTGTGTTTGTAGTTATATCAGTACAATATTTTCATATTCTCTGTACTTTAAATTACAGTTTGAATTATTTCAATGCATTTGTAGACCAAATATGTAGATGTTGTATTATTTATTTGATAAAGGACATGTTACTTATATTTAACATTAAGGATAAAGTACTATCTTAGTCTCCGAATTTTTTAAGCTTGTTCAAATTACTTCTTTTAGATTTGGATGGAGAAAATAGAATTTGCTTAGTCTGTGTTTTCAGGAAAAAAAAAGTCCATGACCTTCTCTTTCCAACTTCATCTCTCTGTTCTCTTCCATCATTCATCTCTCTCCAAAAAATGACCTTTCATTTTTAATGTAAAATGAACGAAAAACCACGAAAAAAAATTTGGATGAAAAAAATTAAACACAAAATCACGTTTCTGCAGCTCTTCTCATTCTTCTTCTTTATCTTCCTAGAATTTCCTATTGAAAAAATGAACACCAACTTGTTGTCTTCCACAGTGCCCACTGCTTACTTCCAGCGTCTTGTCTGCTGCTCTTCTCATTCTCTTCATCTTCCTAAGATTTTTCATTTTCAAATGGTAGTGAAAGCACCCAGTGGTTGCAATCAATTCTTCCTCTTTCTGTGTCTTCCTTGCAAACCCTAGCCTATGCAATCTGCTCTCCTGTGTCAAAATGACACAACTATAGAAGAAGAGGAGTAGCAGCGGAGGCAGTCTCAGTCTCCATCTTCCTCGCCAATCCATTTTCTATCTTCAAGACTGGATTGGCAAAGCTCTGCAGATCTCAGTCTCTTGCTTCTTCGAAATCATTAAGAAGCAAAATATGACCTATGTTTTAACAAGAGGTTACGGACTTCATCCCTAGTGAGTCTCTCCATCAAGACTGACCACCTCGAGATTGACAAGGAGACATTTGTCTAGACAGAGGAAGGAGAGAGTGAGTGATATGAGAGAGAGACTAAGAGTAGAGAAGAGGAAAATGGGAAAAAGAAGAATCTGAGATCGAGAGGCTAGGGACTGAATCTTTTTTGATGATTTAGATTCTTGATTTTATTTTGGATTTTGGATGATGATTTGAACTTTTTTATTGTGATTTTGATGTTGAATTGGATGATGATAATTTTCCTCATTATCAAATTAAATTATTTATTATTTTTTGTAAAAGATAATTTTATTATCATTAGTAATAATATTATTATATATATATAGTTTTATATAAAATATAAAATAATAAAATGATAAATTTAAGAGAGTCACCTAAATTATGGTATACCAGTTCATATTATTTCAGTTCCATAACTGAGATACTGACTGGTATGGTATTTAATACTTTGATTTCTTTGTTTTGTCTCAATAAAAAGGGTTATCCTATAATAGGGATTACTTGTGTGCAATATAATATTATGTGATCAAACTCCAAAAAGAATAATATACTGTAACCAAAGTATTGGAAAAGAAGGTTATAAATGTGAAAATGACTTGACATATCCAGAATAATCATCCACTTCCACATAATGAGTCACATGAATTATTATTATTATTCATTATCCACTTTTATAGGGGAATTTATTCATGACAAATAGTTTTGTGATTCTCAGTCAACTCATGTCATCAACTATGAGCCTGAAGTATTCATTGGATAATATTTTCATGGTTTTATTACAAATCATCATGTAAACACTTCTGGTCAGTAAAAAACTTTATGAACACATTTGAAGAGCTACTATGATAAATTCAATATATCGAATTATTATTAAAAAAATCTAAATGCAGACAAAATTATTTCTTTTGTTTAAAAAAGAACTCCCAATCAAAAACTTGTAGAAGTACATAATGGTGAAAAAAATTATAACATTACAAGAGAAAAAGAAGACTTCTTCAATATTTTATTAAAAATATTTGAATATGTGTGGTATCTGATGTTATAGCATTTCTTCTCAAACTGCAAAATAAACAAAATTGTCCAATTGTTCTTTCTTATATGTCTTTGGTGTCCAGAACAAAGCCAGGAATATTATAGAATTCATTTGCAAATCCGCATTTAGCTTAATTAAGAAGTTGTGTAAATTATATTTTTATTTGTTTTGGGATGACGAGAAAATGATATCATAGTTAACAGAATTTGGAACACCTTGTTCCAATTCACTATGGAATATAAGGTCGCGTTTACAATTTTAGGAAGGATTTTTATAGTCTTTTTGTTGAACTGAATGTTCATTTGCAATTGGATTTAAAGTTTTGTATTTTCTCAAACATAACCTCTATCAAAATTATAATTGCGCCATTAAGTTCTTTCATCATTCTAGAAAAAGGGACCTTATTGTTCCTCACTGACATGAGAAGAGGAAAATCCCTTCCTTCTACATAAAAAATTGGGACATGTGAGTTGTAAGATGCATATGTCCTCAAGTGATAATACCTTTTATGTTCATTCCCCTTTTGGATTATGGAGCATGCCTTGTTGAGATCTGCTACTTAACTTTCAAATAAGCATTTTCATGTTCTAAAGTACATTTTCTTTTCTTAATAAATCATATCCAATGTTCAACCTAACTCTTCTTTTTTGAAAACCAACAAATTATTTTTCAAGCTTCAAAATTTTTTACCAAATTATTCTTCTTTGTTTTAAAATTGAATTGATGTTTTTCTCAAGACCGCTACATTTATGACCAATCTTTTTGAACTTGCCATATGGCTTATCATATAACTGAAATAATTCGTGAAAGATAATTGAATCATCAATGTCAGAATATACCTACGTTTGACTCATCATCTAGTGCCATCAAACAAAGGTTGGCTTCCTCATTCTCGTAATCTCTTTCATTGAAGTAGTATCTCCATATACGATGTCAAGCTTGTTTAATATTTCCTTCATGCCTTTACATGTGGACATGTGAGTGTATTCTTTTAGGTCCAAAGTGCTATGAGCATATTAATTGCTTTCACGTTGATTTGATTGCTTCTTTTATCTACCCATTCATTGCTTGCAGGGTTTGGATATTTGTTCACTTTGACAGTTTTGGTTGGAATTGTTTGTCACATATATTATCATCCTCAAGTATGTGCATCTTGGTACACGACATAGATTGTCATCTTATTCTTTCATGCGCCCCCTTGGTGCTTTTAATACCATACTTCATATTTTAAAGAGAGTCATTGAAGAATGGCGGAGCCTTGGTAGATGAACTTTCAAGATTTATTGAAAGATATTTGTGGTATGAGATTGCGCTCTAGGTTGTTAGACTTATAAAGTAGCAAGGAGACTTTGTTTGATGTTGTTTGTTAGTATAGATGGTAAAGACCTAAAATGAGTGAATAGTTTATCAGACTAATGAAGCTGAACTTTTTAAAATTCTTTTCGAAAGAATAGAGATAGAGGAAAAGTACATGACACAAATACTTCTGAAAAAGTTTGGTTCCTAGCTGATGTTTGCCTACTACCTTAGCTACCTTTAGTCAAAGGATTTCAACACTTTACTATATTAAAGATCAAACAGTACCTATAATATTTTAATCTCATACCAAAAAGATATGTAATTGTTCACCTCTATATAAAGGGTTCAAATAACACACTACCAATAACTTGAATTTTTGAGCTTTTGTGTGTCGGTGGTTGGAGTCCAAAAAGTTATTAGGTCAATGGTGCTTGGATGTGAGGCATCACAAATGGTACCAAAGCATGTATTAGCTTGGTGTCTCCAGGTTTGTGCTTCTGGACTTTATGGTTTTTTTTTTTAATTGCAATTTGTGATTGTGTAATGTACTGCCTTGATGAGGACATTAAGGATCGGAATCATGGAGATTATGATATATATCAATCTCATATCGGAAAAATACATGATTATTGAGTTTCATATTTCAAGTCATACACTATCAGTAACTTGAGTTAGAGTTTTTGAGGGACTAGTGTTTTTTATCCTAAAAAATTATTAGATTAATGATACTTAGACTCGGAGCATTACAATACCTTCTAATGGTCAATGCATATCCAAAAATGCTACCTTTTAATGGTTTCTTTAGAATTAATTAGTAGAATTTTAATGCCTAAAGTAGAACCTTATCCCTACCTTTTAATGGGGAAGTAGAACCAAACTTCTAGACTTAGACACCTATTAAGTTTAGAACAATATCTTTTAATATCCTTTGACACCCAAGAATTAAGAAAAGAAGAAAGAAACCTTTGAAAGGCTTGATTAAGCAACTTACAAGGTTATAAAAACTCAATGTTTGTTTCCTCTATTTTTCTTCTTTTTCTTGATTATCTTAATAGCACTACTTGAGTTTTTTACTTACAACGGAAGTGAGAGTCTTGTGGATAGAATGTTGAATATTTTTTTCCAAAATTGTAGCTTCATAAATTTTTATGACTTGAATGTCTTTTGAAAAATTTAGAATGTAACAATCATGTCACAACCCCTCTTTACAAAAGGGGGTAAATAACAATACTTTCTTAGGCATAATAACACTTCTCTTTTGGGCATAAATATCATAAGAATCATGAAAACATTTTAGAACAATTGTACATTAAATTATAGTAAAGCTGCTTACCTCACTTCAAGCTTTCACTAACCAACGATCCTCCCAAACTTTCCACCTTCCTCTCAGGTTAGGCAATATTTTTAATATTTTGGCTATAAATTCCCTCTTCCTCTACTGGATTTTGACATTATTTCCTTCTTAGAAATCATCAAAATTTTTGCTTATAAAATGGTAAATTAATACTCAAAAACATAACTGAAGTCCATAGGAAAAATTAGCACTTACCTCCTTAGAACTCTTGGGTTTCTCTTTCTCCTTGATTTCTTCAATTTTTATCCTTCCTTTCTTCTGTTTTCTTTCTCTTCTCCTTCCTTCTTCCTTCTTCCTTTCTTCTTCTTTTTCTCTTCCTTTCTTTCAGCCTTAGGCCTTTTCTTTCTCTCTTTTCTTTCCTCTTCCTCTTGGCTACAGCCTTTCTCCCTCTCTCCCTTCTCTCAGCTCTCTTCCTCTCTTTTTATCTCTTTTTCTTTCTGTTTTCTCTTGTCTTGCTTGATCTTCCACTTCTCCAGGCCTGCTATTTACAGGAGTCGGGGAGGCCTGGTAGGAAGACACCTCACCCAAAAGCTGGAAGACAAGATGCTTGACACCGGACAGCTTCTTGCTTCTCATCACTTCTCTAGCTCGCCAACAAGTTAGTTTGTTGGCTGAATCTTGTCTACAACTGCCCACTCACATCCAGCATTCTCTCCTTGATCGATCTGATCCATTTGTGTCCCAATCTCAGCCACATTTTCTCCACCTTTCTCCCATTTGCCGCCAGCAGTTGTTTCCCACCTCCATGACCAACCAGCTTGCAATTTTTGGGGCTGTTTGGTGTCCATTTGGTCCAAGCAGCTGCCTGATATCCCTCTTGGATTCATTTGACCCGAGTCCATGCCTCAGCACCTCAAAGTTTCACCACCTAGCTAAGGTTTAACCTCAAAGAAGAAGCTTGCCAAGAGAAATTTCCAACCAGGGGAAATTTTCCCCTTCCCACAGGAAAATTCTTCTTGTCCCTTTTTCTCCCACTTCAAATGTTTTTCTCGTATTTTCATTTTGTTTTCTCATATGCGTTTTCTTTATACCACGAATGCTTTCTTCCTTTTCCACTTTTCTTACCTAAGGGAAACACTCATTCCCTCATGGAGAATTTTTCTCCCTCACCTGGGAGATTTTTGTCTCACTCACCCTAGGAAATCTTTTTCTTGCTTTCTTCCACTTTCCTCATTTTTTTCTCCCTCTTGAAATGTTGTTTTCCCCTAGAGAAATTTTTTTTGGCTGAGAGTATCTCTTTCTCTTCGGGGAAAATTTCTTGCCCTCGGGAATTTTCTATCCCGGCAGTAACTCATTCCTTTCCTTTTAATTTATCTAATTTGTCTCATTCTTTTCTAAGAGTAAATTCCTTTTAATTTTCCTAATTTTCTCTTCCAAGAGAAATCTTATTCCAACGGTTATCTCATAAGAAGATATATTATTCCAACAGCTAATTTCAGAATTTGAAATAGAGTAAATTTTAACTGCTAGTTTTAAGTAGACATCACATAAACTCCACACTTATCCGGGCAAATTATCTTATAGTGCAATTAACAGTTAAGAGATCTGCCTAATGGATGAATTAAAACGGCAAGAACTGAATGAAATTTCAATCAAGAACTAATTAATGACATGTCAAATTTGTCAAGATTTGATTTTTTTTATCAAATTAACTCTTTAACATCAAAATTATTTTATCAAAATCATTTTCTTTAAGAAAAAGGATCCCAACAGAATAATCATGAGAAAGACCTTGATCTGGTTGGAAGGACGGGGAAAAATGAATCTTCAACTCTTAGTAGTCTTGGAGAGATAATGTAATAATGTGTCTAAGATAGGAAACATATGATAAAAGGAAGCTTCAGAAGTTGAAGGTGAAACATATAGATATAGCTGGTAGTTTAAAAATCCATGCCGAATGTAATGGTCTCCTTGAGGATTCTAAGGACCAATAGCAAGAAAATGGTTGAGAAACTGTGGGACTCGTGGCTTACAAGGGCAGATAGGAGAATCATGTCTATTATTTGTGGGACCTGGCATTCTTTTCTAGACCAAGCACAGAGACAGGCAGGGTATTTGCTGATTAGTAGTTTAAAACTATGGTTATTGATGTTCAACTTACCAGGTGATTTTTGTTTTTTGGAGAAATAAACTTACCAGGTGATTAAATTGTGCAGATGTTGAAGAATTTGCGGTCTCTTCCAATCTGGGCGTGACACAAGAATTTCATCGTGCTCTCTCTCTTCTGTCAACAACTTCTTGGGGTTCATGTGAACCAAAACAAGTTTCACTGGACCACCCACAGAATAATATTCCTCAACCTGCCATGCAAGCAATTTCTCAAGCTCTTCCTTGCACCTCATCTGAGTACTGGCGAGCAGAGCAACAGTCTGTTGAACCTCAGGTGCATTCACTGAGTTCACATGGTGATCGCAACAATCACTTTCAGGAGTTTCGCTTGCTCAGAGCACCATATGAAAGTGATTTTTATTCCAATCAATTAAACTGACTGCTCACTTTGATCAACTGTGTTCAGCTTCGGAGGTTGTAAGCTAAGGTGGGTTAATTAGTTTTTGTTTGGCGCCTAGTTAGTTATAGTTGTTTCCTCCCCCCAGGGCTTTATTTTTTTGTTGAGGGGGAAAGACTGTTGGTTGCAGGCTGCTATTTTAGTGGTTCAAAGTGTCTGGCTGGTCTCCCTAGGACTTCCCACTGGTGAGTGACAGTCTCACCATTGATGATCACTTCCAATATCATGATTTTAACTCATTGGTATTGTTAAATTGCTAGCAATATGACCGGAAGATTGTTATTGTATTGACTTCAAAACATGTAGCGGAGGTGATGACTGTGAATTGTTTATGATGCTGTGTGGAACTTATTCTTAATCTTACATTTTATTGGAAGATATTAAAGACTTATCTCTTTAATTTTTAAGTGAAAAAAAAAACAGATTTTTAATTAACAAAAGTTTGGCATTGACGGTTTTTAATTTTATGAAAATTTTGTTATTTTGTTGTTTTCGATGGTACTTCATTTTTTTAGGTAGATTAAGTGGAATTTTCGAATGAATTCTAGGCTATATTTGGAATAAATTTAGAAATTTCTTACTTAATTTGATTGAAGATATATGTAATTTGTCTTACAATGACCAAAAAGAAAAAATGTAAGTGCATGTAGAATTTTGTGAAAATTTTTAGTAAAGCTTGAACTAAGTTCTGATTTTATGGAATTCATGCGAAAGCCTAAATTTTATTGTTTCTTGATTAAAATAAACTTAAATTTACGACTAAATCTTACATAATTTTAAATTTATTCTAAATATAATCTTAACTTGGCTTTTCAAATAAACTAAAGTGGAAGAGAATAATTTCTAGATCTTCAATTTGTTTTGGATAGTTGAGCAAAGGGATGAACAGATAATAAATATTTTAGAACTTTGATAAAAAGATATAAATTATTAATAATTAATCTAAATTACCAATGTCAAATAATATGTATTAAGCAGAGGGGCCCTCCCTACCTTACCCAATAAGAAAAGTATTCTATTTACGTAAAATTCATTTAAAGATTGTCTAATTTTTAGACTTAGTTCAAATGTGGAAGAAACACAAATTTTAAATTTTAAATTTTAAATTTTAAAATTTAAATAAATGCAAAATAAAATTAAAATAATAATTTCAGGTTCTATCAAATAGAATTTTTTTAAATATATATATATATATATATATACTATAAATAACCTCGTAGAACTAATAATTTTTACATAAATTCTACAAAATAAATTCCTCTTTCTGATCAATTTGCTAAGACTTGCATTTTCACTTGCGTATTTCTAGGAGTTGGGCCTTCCATTTACAAAATGTCTCAAATTAAAGCTACTCAATTATTTTCATCTATTAGTAATAATACTTTTTAAATCATTTACTGGTCATTACTTAATTTGCCTTGAGTGTGAATGTTTTGTGAACCTTACTTTTCTGAAAAGAGATTGTTTTTCGGGCTGTTAAATGGGGTAGGAGCGATGTTAAGTAGAGATGAAGAACATGGTGAATTTTTGTATTGATTAATTAATAACGAAATTACCTTATTTAAAAAATATTCAATTCGTATTAAGGCACTTTCCCGGTCGAAGTGGGTGATAAATCTAAATTAGAAACATTAAAAAACCTAGCAAAACAGTACATAAAAAAAATATAAAATATAAAATTGAACCCACATATTAAGGCAATAACAACAGTTGATATATCCATTTTTTACCTTCTAAAAGTTACAGATAATCGGAACTTCTCTTCCTCTTCCTCTTCCTCTTCCTCTTCCTCTTCCTCCCATGGATGAGTCTCAGCATTGTGCTTTCCCCCAGAAACAAAAAGCCACCATCATTATTTCCCTAATCAGACAACTAAACCAAAACCCTTCAATCAAGCCTAATTGCTACGATTGGGCTCATGGCCCATTCAAGATATGAAGGAAGTCACACCCCATGCTCTAAGAAGCCAAGTCTGTGCCGCAATTGGCTAAAAGCCTCTTGCTAATCCACCTTGACCCATCATCCTCCAGGACTTTTAACTTCAAACAATCAAATATCATGCTCCGATTATATGAATATATATGACGCGACCATTTTAAAAAACAATAAGGCTCTTTGATTATATTTAACTTAAAATTTGATTGAAGGTCCACATAATGTTGTTTTCAGCCGGCACAAGATGCAAAATTGATGCTATTCAAAATCTGGAGTGCAAAAGCAATCCTTGATAGTAAAAAATAGAGTGCAAGCTGTGAGGAACAGAACAGACATTAGACCACACAATGTAATTTGCATCCTGAAAAACCAGTATTTAGTCATGTAATCGAACCTCAACTCTGATAAAAACTTATGCATAGATCAGACTCACTATTGAATTAGATCTGAGAACAGTGGTCCCACTAATTTTGAATGTCTAAACCACCAACAGACAATGCCCCAATCAGATTGAACTAATGACCATATATGGGCCACTAATTGCCATTTCCCTGACACAAATCAGATTGACAGTACTACAGCAGTCATGTGCACAACTTGCTTTCAGATTTCTGTTAAAGCTTCAGAAGGCCCATCGTCATTTAGCATGCAAACATCCATGTGATTGCTACAATGCACTATGTTACCATGTTAGTGTACAAATGAAATGAATCAACAACCCCAGCTGCCAAAATACAAGTGCCAGATCTTGCAGTTGCAGGGTGCAGATTCAAAGCATTATGCTATAAACACTATGTTAAGATTTGCCCATAATAACATCCTGAACTTGAAACTTCAATCCAAACCAAGGTCCAAAAAGGAGGACCCCAATAAAGCAAGTCAACAAAACCAGATGCAATTATGACAGACATTATGTGTGGCACCTATCACATGCCAATCAATTCTTAGGGAGAGACAAGTCTGTGTCCTAAAAGGAACAGACCATACACCAGGACATTCTCTATGTGACACCTAATTAAATTTAAAACTTGGGAGCTCAACGGGCTTCTTCTAATTTAAGCCTCTCCAAAACAATGTACTAAGAAAATAGTTTAGAGACAAATTTCCAAAACCAAATGAAAACCAGAAATATGCAGCCTCCAAGTTTTTCTCTGCCTCTAGTAACAAACTAATAGTTCATGGTAACAGTACGCACTAGAATAGATGAGTTGATCCAGAGAGTACAAACCTAGCTTAAAAGGAAACCAGAACCAACCTGTAAAATCTTTCCAGATTAGGATGGATGACACAATGCATCAAACGATCCATAAAGACCAAAATACCATTTCAATAATACAACACTTGACACTGATCATAAGAAGGTAGAGTGACTTGACAACCGCTGCAACATGAGGACGAAAAGACTGACTTTCAAACACCCATAATTGAGCAACGCTGGATGACAACTGTGGACCTTCTCAACCCTCAAACATGTCTAGTACTCACTGGAACATTACACAATTGCAAATCAATGGAAGCTAAGGTGGAAAACCAAAATTAATGAGGTACATTCATATTGTGTAAAATAGAAGATGGGAGAAAAGAGGGAAGTGGCCTCTTTGCAGAAAATTATTCCACTGATTAACTTGTAAAATCAAATATTTCATGAGTTGGTGATGTAGATACAGAATTAACGAAAACATCATTATTAAGGAACGGATGAAAATACAAAGAAGTGCTGCATGACGAACCTGATCATTCTCCTCTGGTGCTGGTGAGGGGGACTTCTTTGATTCAGCTGGTTTATCAGCCCCACAATTCTGTCTGTTGCACTTAGTCCTGAAGGGATAGTTTATGTTGTTACATTTCTCACACTTCCAGCTCCCCTCGGGCATTTTTTGTTCTGAATGGTATAAAGTACGTCAGTACCAGACTAGAAGGAAAGCAAACCATTGTAATGCATAACAAACTTACTGGAATTTTTATCTGATTTTGCAGCCTGCATTTGCATGGAAGTATTTTCAACAATCAGAAAATCAATAATAGAAAAGTAACATGAAAGTATCAAATAAGAATCATGTAGCAGAAGAGAGGAATTAAAATAGTAATATAAAAATGTTATATCAAATATAATCAGAGAAATGAATCATGCACTAAACTTGACCATGAACTAATTCACTACCTTAAAATT